TCTGGAGGCAAGAGAGTTGGGAAGAACCCAGATCTCTAGACATCTGATTCCCAATTAATTTCAGATTCCCCAGAGGAGGTTCCTCATATCACCCACTCGTGGGCAAACTGCAAGCACTATCTGGCACTGTTCCACAGTTACTGGAAGCATGAAGAATTTGAGCAATTTTCAAAACTGTGTATTTTCCAATGCAGTTTAATATTAAAATACAGAGGCATTAAATCAGCTGCTTATTTTCACTGCATGGGCCAGCCTAGTGGTGGTAACAGTGCAGATGTCCTCTCTCACTTCCAAACTTGTTACCAAGGCAGCAAAATTATGTATGTCAAGTTTCCATGAGCAAAAAATGGTTTCATCCTCAGACACCACCCATTCATGGCACACAGTGTTTTAAAATGTTCTCTACTTGGATCTAATGGTTCTACTCACTTTTGGCTTGTTCAAACATGGTATAAACCAGTCAGTTTTAGACTGTGGATTATGATTTCTTCTCCCTGATCTCTAGTCCAATTTGAGTTGTCAAAGACAGCTTCCAATGGGTTGGGAGCTGGTCTCAACTCCAAGGCAGTTTTACTTTTTAGAGCAGACCTTTTGTTTTCTGTAGAGATTCTCACAGCTACTCTTAGTTCAGCACGGCACGGGATGAACAGTATTCCGAGGCTCGAGGTCATGAATCAGAACACGGAGGCTGGGCAAAACCCTCTTTCTAAAAAGAGTCACGGCTGCTGAGAAGGAACCAGGAGGAAGTGAGGGGAGCAGAGAACTCAGTTCAGGGAACTGGTGTGGGGCTGGATTCCAGCACTGGGAGAAAAGATAAAGCCTCAGCCCAGCTGAGGGAGTTGGCAATTTAAAGACTTCAATCTCCCCAGACCGGGAGGGTCCTGGAAGAGAGCCTGTGTTCCCTGGTCAGGCTGGCTGAATGCTGACTGTCATTTCCCTCCATCTGCTTTGTGCTATACCCTATTCTTTATCCAACAGCCAAAATTATACTTGTTGCTAGGCACGTGACTTGTGCAGGGAAGTTCTGAGTCTCAGAAGAGTGGAGGGCAGAGAAGTCAATGGAGGAAGAGGAGGGGTAAAGTTGAGGATGGTACTTCATGGTCCTCGGAGAAAGGGAGGGGCCCCACAGCAGGCAGCCTCCAAGGTGAGCTTTTTAATTCTACTTTTACCTTTTTCCTAAGAATACAAGTTCACAGGTTTGAAATTATTAAATAGAAATGTATCTTACAGTTGCAATTAACGCAGGAGTCAAATGAAATGTGGAGATACAGAGAAGGGGGAAAATGTAAAATATGTTTCCAGGATGTGTGTGTGTGTCCAGTAAAAGTCTGAGGGCGTGATATACACACCACTTAGAAATGTGACTGTCAAAGCAAGTGAGATGACTGGGAGATCAGAGCTCAATGACACACAGTTAATTTGAAATTCAATGAACTCATTTCCTAGTTTCTACAAAGTAAGCTTGAAATTGCCCGCCTTTAATGTGCTGTGTGAACTTCCAAGCATGAGGTAAAATCTGCAAAAGATGCTACCTTACCCAGCTCTCTTACTGTGGATCCAAGGATCACTGGGAAACGCTCAATCAGAAAATATCTTAAAGTTCCTTCAAGCTCTAAAATGCTATGATTTTAGAGGAAGTCTAGATTTTAAAAGACAAATTAATATGCCAAAGAAAAATATTCTTTCAGAATCCTGAACACTTAAAAACAAACTTTACAGATACTTACTAAGCCATGTATTATAGAGAACTAATAACTGGGATGAGTGAAGCTGAGATTCATCCTCCTCTCCTGATTAGCCGATCACAGTTCCAAAATCATGATTCACTGCTCAGCCCAATGAGCTCATTTGTCAACTTAATGTATTTCTGCAACTTATTTCAATTTCAGGAAAAAATTATTTTTCTCTTTTGTCAAATGTGCTTTATAGATAAAGCAGACACTCCTGTATCAATAGCATGCAAGAGCTGACAGAAGGATACTGCAGTTTTGTAAATGAGACAGAAATTGACCCACAGAACTGGGAGACTGGCCAGGAAACAAGAAATGTGTGTGTGTGCACATATGTTTTAACTGTAAACAGGGCCATTTTTATGTCATCTCAGAAACAGTCCTATGGTGACTTTCTTCAAAAAAAGGCATATGAAAAGGCAAAGAATAAAGGTCACTTGTAAAAGCACAGACCATCATTAATGTTTAAGGCCACATACGCTGCTCTAGATGAGCACTACATAATCCTGGCTGTGCGGTGGAATTACCAGTGGAATATTATAAAACACAGGTGCCTGGGCCCCACTCCAGGAAATTGGGATCCAGTAAGCCTGGAGTGAGTCCAGCCCTCTGTGTTTTTATAAAAGTCCAACCATGATTCTGATGTGTAGGAAGGGTCAAGAAACAACGTATACACTGCAGGATGTGGTGAGTATGTGGTGTGCCTCCCAAATGCCCTCACTGTGGGGTCAAGACAGCCATTCCCTCAGCTGCTGGGAGGGCTGGCCACTGACTACGGACAGTGAAGTCCTTTCCAGGAATTGCCCTCCAGAGGCCATAGGGACCTGACTCCCCCAAAGCCATGCTTCTTCCCTGGAATCAGCCTACATCTGATGACCAGTCAATGAGAGGAGGGGATAACAAAGGCCCAACCTGCTTGCCTCAATTTGGGGCAACCCTGAAGCAGTCTCTAATCCTAAATGTCAACGGATTGGGGTTGCATGGTGTTGGGGAATGCACTGGGTCCAAAGTCCACAGACCTGGACTCAAAGCCATTTTTGGCTTTTGCTGTCAGTGGTCCAGACAAGTCACATCACCTCTTGAATCTCAGTTTTAACTTTGAAAAATGGGGACAAAATTTTTAAAAAGATGTATGTTATAATCCCTGGACCACCCACCAAACAATGCAAAGCTGTCTCACTCAAATGTTAATAAATGAATCAAACAGACAAAAGTAAATAAATAAAAATGGAAAACAAAACAACAATAGTAACAGTAACAACAACAACTATCTGATCTACTTTCAAGAGTAGTTGTAAAAGTTCAGTAAGAGTCCGTAGAATTGAACTGTGAATCATATGAATTGCTGGTAGTTGCTGTTACAAAACATTCTTAGGTCTACAAATATTCACACATTATGTGAAAAAAGATGTTAAAGTACTACATGACACTGGAAGTCAAAAAATGTTTTAATTCCCAAATGCATATGTCTTTAGCATTCTCCACTGCATTTGTTCAATGAACTGAAATAATAAAATGGAATAATTTTGTTTGCTTGTTTTCCTGTTTTTACATGGAGCTAAAATCAGCTATAGAAAGAAATAGTCCCAGGTGTCAAGACAGTTCAGTAGGGAAAAAACAGACTTTTCAACAAATAGGGCCAGAACCACTGGATATCCACACGCAAAAGAGTGAAGTTGGACCTCTACCTCACACCATATACAAAAAGTAACTCAAAATGAATCAAGACCTAAATGTGGGAGCTAAAACTATAACACTTTTAGAAGACAACAAGCATAAATCTTCATGATTTCAGTGGTTTCTTAGCTATGAAGCCAAAGCACATACAATAAAGGAAAAAAGAAGAGAAATTGAACTTTATCAGAGTTTAAAACTTTTGTGCTTCAAAGGACACTATCAAGAAAGTAAAAAAAGAAAACACATTGAATGGGAGAAAATATTTGCAAATTAAAAAACTGATATGAGACTTGTATCCAGAATATATAAAGAACTCTTACAACTCAATAATAAAAAGCCAACCTAATTGAAAAATGGACAATGATAACACATGAATGGCTAATAAACAAACACGAAACACTCAGCATGTTTAGTCATTAGGGAAATTCAAATCAAAACCACAATGAGATACCATTTCACACCTATCAGTATGGCTATAATCAAAAAGAGAGACAATACGTCTCAGTGATGATAACAGAGAAATTGGAGCCCTCACACACCGTGGGAATGTAAAATGGTGTAGCCGCTTTTGAAAACATTCTGACTGTTCCTCAAAATGTTAAACATAGAGTTACCATATGATCCGGCAGTTTTACCCCTAGAGTAATGAAAACACGTCTGCACATAAAAACTAGTACAGAATGTTTATAGCCGCATTATTCATAATAGCTAAAAAGTGGAAACAATCCAAATATTTACCAACTGATGAATGGCTAAATCCATTTATACAAAGTATATCCAGATAATGGAGTATTATCTGACAATAAAAACAAATGAAATAATAATACATTCTATAACCTAGGTGAACTTTAAGCTAAGTGAAAGAAGTCAGTCACAAAGGATCACATATTGTGTGATTCCTCTTATGTGAAATGCCCAGACCAGGCAAATCTACAGAGAAAGAAAAAGCAGATTCGCGGTTGCCAGGGGCTAAAAGAAGGAGGAATAGGTAGTGACCGCTAATAGGTGTGGGGCTCCTTTCTGGGGTGATGAAATGTTCTAAAATTGATTCAGTGATGGTTGCACACCACTCTGTGACTATGCTAAAAATGACTGGATTGTACACTTTAAGTGGGTAGACTGTATGGTATGTGAGTTACACTTTAGTGGCTGGTTCTACGGTATGTGAATTATATCTTAATAAAAATGTTATTAAAGAAAATAATCCCATGAGCTGAAAAAATAAGACAGAGGGTAACAAGAATTTAAATATAACCCACGGAAAAATGTTATGACTATTTCACTTTGACTTTTAAGTGAACACAGCTCACAGTCTGCCTTTAATTAAATCAAATCACAAATCTAAGGCGTGGGAAAGAGACTGGCCAGGAAAAAATGACTGTGCTCTGGGAGCATTCAGAGTCCCTCAAAAATGGACTCAAAAATTCTCAGCAACTGACTCAGATTTAAGGTAAATAACCCACTATGAGCTGAACCAAAGTCATGCCTGCTAGGAAGAGACAGTATTTTAAAAATGGGCTTTCAAAAGTCATTTTAGCAGTAAATGAAAGAGTGTCTGCAGTAACAACTCCTACCAAAATGCAAAAACCTTACCTGTGAGCTTTGAGTATCCTCTGAGCAATGGCATCGCCTATCTTATTAAACACAACTTTGTCATCAGCGCAGCTTATGAAAAATTGGTTCTGTGTGAAATAAATGGGAAAATTATGTAGTAAGTTTTTCTTAGTAGTATGCATATAAGGAAAATGTGGTATATAACAAAAACAACACTGATTTTTTTTTTAAAAAAATGTTTCACATAGCAGACATGTCCTAACCCCTGAAATCACCTCAAGAAAGTAAGTGACGCTGAGAATAAAAGAAGTCTCATCTCACTCTGGGTCTCATGCATTTCGAAGCAATGTCACCTGTAACACCTTAGTCAAGTGGACGGCTCAATTATTATTTAATCATGCAAGTTCCTTGTAGAATACAAGAAACATTGTCTCAGAATGGTAGGAAATGGTAAGAAATACTGTCTTAGAGTGGTAGGAACATTCCGACCTTAATTGATAGGGAAATCGGGTTTTTCAGTTCACACATCGTGTAAATGCTCATGATGAAAAATTCTATATAGGCAAATATCCTATCTCATGCTAAGTTTACTTTTTGAACAGGATAGATGGCAGAACCTTGGTCTAATTTTCTCCACTATTTCCTAGCATCTGCTTTGGCCTTAACTCATTTGTTTAGGTCTCGTATTATTCCTGAACTTCTATTTTCAGTAGCTTCTAATCTCTCTTGCAAGTATGCTGCATAGTATAAACAAGCCAATAAAATGGAAAGAGAAATTTTTTAATTCTTTTTTTTAAGTATTTCTGCTTTATAGATTCATGCATCGATAAAACATTCTTTAAACTGTTACTAAAAAAACCAGGGTACAACATTATTCTTATAAGGATATAAGAGATTTAGCTGCTGCATAAAGGACTGTTACAAATTAGGTACAAATATTATGAATATCACATGTTCTATTTACTATACAAATTGTTACAACACATCTCTAATTTATAAGCATAAATCACAAAGTAATCTTTGCCAATCGTCTGAAGGTAAAGAGCTATATAAGCAGTGACTCAAAATAAGATTATCATCCTTTTGCCACATTATCATTTTTACTATTGTACACACTTTCATACTGAAGTGCGTAAATCTGTAAATGGCTTCCAGAAGACAAACTTACAGGAAGACATTCTTCAGAAACTCATTTGAGAGTATATTTCCCTTCAGGGCATCAAACAATCAAAATCTCAGTGACAACCAAAACACATTTGTTTTTCTCAATTCCCATTACAGAGAAGCTTAGCATTCCCCTGCAGCTGTAACACACACTCATGTCCTTCACTTCTCCTTTTTTGGAGAGAGTGGGGTGAATGCCAACCATTACCTCGCCTACAGGCATTTCAACCAGGTCTATGTCCACAGCCATGTGTATCGACATGGCATTGCTTACCTCATTTAGTGGTAGTGTTAAAAAGAAGAGCTAATTTAATACTACTGAAAAAAAAAGATAAAGCAAAGGATGCTGGGCAATGAATGAATCAGCCATTAACATCTTACATTATTATGATATAATTGTTGACATTAATAATACTGATAGTATTAGTATTATTAAACACCAGGCTTTATTCAGAGTTCACTAATTTTTGCAGTAATGTCCTTTTTCTGTTGCACGATCCCATCCAGAAAACCACATTGTATTTAGCCTGCTATTATTTTTAATCAGCCATCCCTTTCTCCAGGCCTGTGAAATAAATGAAGCTCCACCTCTTTCCCACTTGCCTTTAATGAACTGTCACTGCCTGGAAGGGGAGAGAGCCAGGACTCAAGGGGAGAAACATAGGGCTAGAATGGTTTTCCTCAGTTACCTAGTCTCTCACCATGTACATTTCTAAACACAATGGGAAAGAAAAGACTAAAATAAAGGAGACGTGCTCTGATTTATTTTTCTATTGTCATAACTCTATTTTTTAAGGGTTTTCCAAGCGCTCTGAGCTAGCTTTAGATCTATTTTGAAGTACAAAAAAGGTTCCCAAACTAAACCCAATATTTGCAGATTCTCTCCTGGTCTCTACACATGAACTCCAGGATCTGAAAAGGCTTTATACACAGGACTGAAAAAGGTGGTACCTGCCCTTGATGTTTTTCCATCTCCTTTTTCCATGTTTCTTTTCCTGCCCTCTTCCTGCTCCAACATCCCCAAACCAGTGGCATCCAGTAGTTTCTATGTTGGCAGCTTACTCCTGTGTGTGTTCTCCTGAAATAGCATGTGCTTCACATTTGCATCCTCCAACTCAAGCCAAACCAAAACACTTACGTATCCATGTTGGGGTCTTTCTGGCTAATAATACCACAAATTGGTACATTTTAATAATAAGGTTTGGGGGACTCCTATTAGAACCTCCAGTTAATGAAAATGTAAAGCGAATGTCAGGTAGGTTGAGGAAGTCAAAATTCAGGTAACCCAAGACCTCTTCACATCTCTACATCCGCTTATTAACACAGCACGTTCTGAGATCAGGAACTCTGCGGTCTCTGTGTGATATTTACAGGAAGGCAGGTTGTCGTACAGTGTTCATGAGCAAGACTTACTTCTATATAGATATAGTGCTTGCTGTTCTCTATCACATAGATGTAAGCAGAGTGGATGGATTCTTCGTGGTACTTTATACCAGCAGACCAATCGGCAGCAGAGCGGAGCAACTGCAAGGCAGCAATCAGAAACGAGCAAACGTCAGACAACGGAGATGGCATCAGGTCTATTAACATAATGAAATCAACCTTTTTTTCCCCTAAACAACTAAATGGTTATGATGGTTTGTGTGTCATGTGTGCGCCAAGGCAGAGTAGCTGGGTGGGGAACTGGTCCTTGGACATAATCCATAATGAAGGAGCCCAGCTGGAAGTTTAGTCCTGAATATACCCTCTTCCACCCAGGATTACTTTTGTTCAAAATTGGAAATGACAAGGTGTAGTTTCTACACAGATCATTTCAGAAGTACCTCTTTTGGCGGCTGTGAGTAGGGTGACCATTTGTATTCTTTTTTCATGAATGGCCCCACAATTATGCCAGAGTGCCTGGTGTATTAATAATACCAATTTTATTCTCAAAAGTGTCCTGGTTTGAACCATATGATATGGTCACCCTAGCTCTGACTTGATCATGTGATTAGTCCTTTTTCCCCAAATTGTTCGGATTGATACATTCTAAAAGACAAATCGATTTATTTAGACATCTAATCTTGATTCTGCCTTTAATTAGCTGTCTGATCCTTGGTGTGTCACTTCAACTTTCCACTTTCCCACTCTTACCCCATCCCTCTGTTCAGAAACTTACCTACTCCAAGCTGAGCTTCCAGCTCAGGCTCCTGAGTATATGTTAAATACACTGATGCAGTGGGACTGCCCAGGTTCAGAAATTAGCTCCACCACCTGGTGGCTTTGATCTTCGTCAAGTTTTATAACCTCTTTGTGACTCAGATTTCCGTTCGATAAAATTGAGTATCTACTTTATAGGGTTGTAGAGAGGATTAAATGAATTACTGTGCAGTGTGCAGGAGGAGGCTGAGTAAGTGGTATGTAAGTGTTTGCTATCAATGAGAACACTAAAGGATGCATCTGAGCTGTGGTGGATCCCGTCAGAGATACTTCAGAGCAGGCTGTGGCTGTGCATGGGAGGAGGGCTACAGGTAAGGCTTTTTCGACACTAAGAAACCATCGGTTGTGACTTTTTTCAGCATTCCAACTAGCGTTCCACTATCATGTTGGGCATATAGTAGACGTCAATAAACGCTTATTACTTGATTTTCCTTGAGCAATATCATGTCATCACAGATTTTTATAGTGACTTTTCACTATAAAAAAATTAAAAATAAATAAACCCATTTGTTGAAGAAACAAGGTAATTCATCCAAGAGTTTTTCATAGTCTGGATTTTGCCAATTGCTCTCCCTTGATTTTTAATATGTTCCTCTATTCTCTGTAGTTCCAAAAAAATTGATAGATCTAAAGATGTAGGCTTGGTTTTAGGGCAGAAATCACTCATAAGTGGTGGAGGGTGCACTTCTATCAGGACACAAAATGCTTGCTTCTGTTTGTGATGTGACCTGTCCTTGAAAGTCATTACCTTGAACCATTAGCTGGTTAGAAGTTGCTAAATGGTAATGTTTTAATTCTATCATCATTTCTTATGGCTTAGCTAGAATACTTTTTATGAAAAGAAACTTCTCTCATCAACATTTGGTTACCCTGAAATGTAGTTTGTACAGGAAAGACAAAATAAAGGCTTAATTATTTTCCTTAATTAATAGTTTTTTAAAGAATTTAAACACTGAAGACTTCAGAGGCTAGAAAAATTAAGTAATTAATTAATTTAAAAATCGCATGTACAGGGCTACTGGAACTCAAGCCTAATATTTACTAAAACTCTGCCATCCTCAAAATGTTTCTTTATTCATCTGAGCTCTCCTCAAAGCATTTTATGTAATTTTATCAGATGAAATGTGCAATGATACTGGAAAATCTAACTGTGAACAAGAATAGTCATGTAATCCTGGAAGAAAACTCATAAAGAAAACTTAGATAAATGTGATCCACACCAGAAAAATATCTTGATTCACATCATCTCCAAGAACTGCATTATTGTTCATCAGCAGAAATAACAAAGGTTGAACAAAAGGAAGTTTCAATTCTTTGTCCACTCAAATTTGACATTGAGTTTTGTTGCTAAGGTGTACAGTCCTAAAAATGCAGGCTTCCTTCAGAAGATTCTTATGCTGCACATCCTGATCTAATTCTATGTTGCTCTGGAAATAATGTATAAAATTGCAGAGTATACTGGCAAGATAGGGATTCTTGAGATCTGTATCATAGCTGTGCACTTACTAGCTGCTGCACCTTGAACAAGTCATTTTAATATCACAGAGGCTCGGTTTCCTCCACTGTACACTTGAGATTGGTCTGTCTGTCTCTGTCTGCCTCTCTGTCTGTCTGTCTCTCTCTTACACACACACACAGAGCCATTGCAAAGAAAAAAAAATGGCATAACAAACACAAAGCATTATATTATGCAGCACATAGTAGATATTTGACATATGGTAGATCTACCTCTGTAAGAAGTTATGATCAAAGTTTATATCCCACCCTTGGTGGTAACATCCTAGTCTTCCCCTCAAATTCGGAAATCTTATACTTTCTTTCCTTCCTCACTCTCAAAATTTGCTGATTCAAAGACTTAATAAACTCATTCACATAAGATATAAATCAGTAGTGTCAAGCAGGTTTCAACTTGCACGTCAAGTCTAATTGATTCAAAGTGGCTTTGTGGACAGCTGTGTTGAGGAGAGGACTCTTGGAACTAGACACACTGGGGAAAAAATCTAAGGTTCATAGCCAATGGCTGCCATGAAAGGAAAGCATGAAGGACACGTATCATATGCACCATCTTTCCTGTGAAGGATAATGGTAAATGTTTTCCTTTCCAGAGGCATTTAAATGTTTCTAAGTATATTTGTAAGCCAAAAGGACATTTTTATCATCAACCTGTGGGAAAGCATAAGCAAAGTAGAGGGGAGCCCCCCCGATGCCTGTAAGACCACACAAGGTGGGAGGCTGCCTACATCCTAAGGAGATTCGGCATTATCTATTCAATAGTCTGAACCCAAATCTACACCATTTTCTCCATTTAACTTAAAAAAAGTCATCATTTTTGGTTCAACTTGAACATGTCTTTCAAGTAATACAGGAAAAAAAATTACTTGGGGTTATTATTCATTTACTATTATTCTGATTAGTTAAAATCTGTCTCTTACCACAAGATAAATTGAAAGTACGAATTTTCCTTTTACCTCTGAACCAGGGACCCTGAGATTATGTACAAATCAACTCAACTGCTTTAAATGCTTGATGGTCTAGAAAGTTTGTAAACAGTCAAGTATGTTGAAGATATTCTGACTGGCTTTCTTTTGTTTTGAATTTAAGATTTAAGACTGACTTGACCATCTTGCCTTGCATTTCTGTTTCAAACCAATGTAGCTGAGACAAGCCACAAACTCCTTACACATGCAGAAATGTGGCTTATCTTACTCCAAGGAGATAGAGAATCAAATCTAACCCACACTTTTCAAACCTCAAGTTTGAATACACAATTTTAAAGTACATAAAAAAGGGCACATTTCTGGTTTTATGTTTTAGCCTCAAGACTGTAACTAGAAGCAGTCATTTTCTTTTGTACTGTATCCTATTTTTTAACTTAAAAAATAGCCTTCTCTTTATCTGTAAGCCCTATTCCCCTTACATACAGTGGACCCGAGTTGACTGCATGGACTGAAATACAGAAATTTCTTCCTGAAAGAAAATTTTCAAAACTTTCTTACTATTTGTCCCAAGTTCCTGTTCTCTCACTGCAATGCTTTTATTCTCTATAAATTCAGTACATATATCAATTCCTTTTTATTCCTCTAAGCTCCCTAGTCAATCAAGGGACAAAGACTGTCAGGACGAAAGCACTTTTTTGTGTGTCTCGAGCAGGAGTTGGCTCCATGTAGCAGCTCACAAGGTGGCATGGGTCAGGGAGAGAAAAGACGTGCTCAGGTTACTGGGCCTCATTCTCCCAGTCTGTATTGAGGAACACCAGGTACGGACTTTGTTCAAGAATCTGCCTTCGACTACAAAGCTCTTCCTTCTGATACTCATTTTTCTATAGTCGAGTGTCATCCATTCACTTCACAGTGTGTCATTATTCGAATAGGATGGTCCTTTTGCCTGAGCAATAGTGAAAAGTTAAACTTGAGGCTGAAGAGAAGGAAGAGAATATGATTTTTGAAGAATAAGACTTAAGGGGAGAGAAGTCCTAGGAAAAAGATGTTTGGTTGGGGACTCGTGGGAGCCAGTAAGAAGCAAAAGGAGGGTTGGGGCTGGATTTGGGGACTGTGGCAACAGAGGATGATACCAAAAGGCAAGTATGACGTGCAGCTTTGCTTTGCTAGAGCCCTTCCCAGGTCTTATTGGAAAGTCTCTCTGCTTCACAGTTACGACCTCAGGCGCTGGAGTCAGACTGCTTAGAATCCAGTCTCATTCCCTCCATTACTCACTGTGTTATTTTAACCTCCCCAAGTCTTAGTTTCCTCATCTGTAAAAATAAGGGATCAAATGGCAGTACAATTTACAGACTGGGGACTATTAAATGAGATAATCCCCCAAAAACTTAGTGCAGGGCTGGGCAGGGAGTAACCGCTCCCAGTTCACATGGCTTCAGCCAGCCAAGACCCACAGCAGCACGCACTGAAGTCTTATTGTACCAAGACCTGGTCTGTAAACGGAAAACGGCTTCCATGGTAAGAAACTTCCTTAAAAATAAGTCAAGTGGCTTTCTTTCACCCTTACCTACCTACTTTATTCTATCACTATACAAAACATTTTGCTGTCTTTTGAAATCTACCTTGATTCCTACATTGACATCCTTTGGAGTGTCATTTGGACATTTTTCCCAAATGTAGGAACACATTTTTCCAGGAGTATAATTTGGATGTCATTATACTTGCTTGTATATTTTCTTTCCTTTCTTTTAATAGACAAAGAGATTGAAGACATGACTCCAGTGGAATTACTTCCCTCAATTTGGTAGGACTTCTCAGCAATGATTGGCTAAGAAATGACTTTTCTACTCTAAGCTGCCCGATTTAATAAAAAAGATTGTTCCATGTATCGATTCCATGTTGATGCTAATTTGGCCTCAAGTATTTTCTTTTACCTTAATAGACATGTCAAATGTCCTCTTATCTTGGTCATTTATCTTAAGTGGCACTGATAGCATTCAGGAACCTAGTTTGTTCTTTTTAGGGAGAAAACAAGTTCTCCACATTCTCTGTGCATAAGCAGTTTCAGAACCCCCTCCGCATCCCTTTCTCTTGCTGAGTCTTGTCTGGGTGTTTTCAACAGGCTTCTGAGAATGCCCAGCACTGAGGGAAACACCCACGATTATTTTAACATGTCAGTGGAAACTGCTGGAGTCAGCTCTCCAGGCTGGATGACTTTTTTAGAAGCAGAAATTCGTGTTGGTGAGGGCAGGCCTCCAGTCTGCCTGTCACAGCATTTGTTTCCTTGGCTGGCCGTGTCCGCCTCCTTCAACAGCTGTGCATCGTAGCTGGTGTGGAATTACCAGCAGTATGTGCCTCAGGGTGATGGGACCCCACATTTTTGTATTAAAAAAATTAAATAACTGGATTCCTTTCTGCAGATGAAAGAACAATATGAGTTTCATCTGTTGTGTCCAATGCTCTTTCTCTCCATTTCAACATATATACTGTAAATGGTATAAAGATTTTGTATCCAGAACCAGTCTGGTGACCGATCCAGAGAAATGTCAACTTCTTTGTTGCAAACTTTTGAAGACACTACAGAAAGCTTGAAGGTTATAGCTAATATTGATATAGTTCAAAAGGTTGTAGCTAATATTGATACAATTCAAACTAGTGTACTTTCCTAAGTGCTTTGCACAGATTAGTTTATTTAACTATTTCCAAAACCCTATGAGATAGATACTATTACGATCCTTGTTTTAAAGATGAAGGAAATGCATACAGTGAGGTGAAATAATTTTCCCAAGGTAACACGGCTCATATGCAGTGAAAGTGGAACTGGAACACAGTCCGATCCTGCAGTCTGCCCCTTGCTATACTACATTGCTCCTTTCAATTAATTAAGCTGTGGTTTCTAAGTTCATGTTATGAACAATAAACTGCGCTAAAAACCATGTTAAAACCAACATTAAAAGGAATAAACCTAAGGAAGAACTTTATTAAGTTTTATTAAATCTCTCAAGCAAGAGTGTGTAACAGTCATTTGGCTATTGTCACATGATAGCTGAGAAAGTGAAAGGTTTGAAAGTATGACAATAAACCCCTTAAAAATGAAGTAGGTTCCCAGACAGCCAGGGCCCTATCTCCCTGCTCTCCTCTGGATCCTCTGGGAAACCAGGCATTGGGCTGGGTGATTGCTTTTACCCTCTAAGCACGATACATTCATGACTTGACAACAACAATATCTAGAACCAGATGAATAAGGTTTGGAGCCAGTCAGTAATGCGAAGGGAAGCAACGCTGTGGTCAGAACTGTACAGAAAAGGAGAAACGGACTGGCGCCGTTTCCTTCCTCTGTTTCACTTTCTGGCCATCGCAGTTTCCTGTCTTCAAAAGGATGCACTGCCTGGCTGTGCCCCCTGTTTTCACCCCTGGAGTTATTTCAGCAGTTCTGAAAAACATCTACTGTCAGCCAGTAGGGAGCCAGGCTTTGTGAGGTCTAGAACTTTTTAAACTGTGAGGGAGTCCTCTTTAAGAAAAAGACTATTCTATAAATACAAAATTGGTGTATGCCAGAATTACTGTAACAGTCTCTTTACTTGTCTTTGTGTTTTCATTCTTTCTAGTCTAGTAAGTTCTTCACATGTGTGAACTTTAGGTCTCAAAGTCTGTTTGGAGAAATGGAAATAGACGTGTGACAAAATGAGAGATCCTAAGTCAATTAAGTCTGGGAAATGCTCATAGAATATTCACTCAGTGATTTCATGATATACATCAGCACAACAAAGGCACTAAGAAGTCCCGTATTTGAAAAATCTCCAAAACCTTATCTGTAATGGAAACCTCTTTTGTGAAATAGCTATCAGCATTTCACAAGCAAAACCCAACCTGGGAAACTTTGATCTAGGTTAATTTTCATAAAACATTCATGTATCATGCTTCCTCCCAGATGAAAACAAAAAGTTCTCTAATGCCTGCAGAATCAGGTCGAAATGAACCCGGCCAGCACCTCAGGGCATCCCCAATCTGGCCTTTTGCTTGTCTGAACCTCATGTACTGCCTCTTTGAGAGCAAATGGTTTGCTGCAGTGGGTCCTACCATCTTCTGAGCAGCGAGCATTTTCCTTAGAGGGTTGCCCAGCTCCATCCCTCTCACTGCCAACCTCTCACGGAGAGCTGGGCTGCATTCTCAGACCAGCATTTGGTCCTAGACCACACTCTGCCTTGTTAACTGAATTCTTTAACTTCACAGCTTTCTCTCCCTCAACTAACTCCTTTTCCAGAGGCAGAGAACTCCTTTTGTCTGTCTCCACCATATCTAAGCGTGCACTGATGACTTGACTGTGCAAACACATGGCCCTAATAGACATGTTGACTGAATAAATGAATTAATGAGTCAATGAGTCTTGATAAGCTTCCTTTCAAATCAACTGGCTTTGTAGAGTCCATGCTGCCTGGCTATGCCAGGGATGAACGTCTGAGCATATCAGAAGAGACCACTGATCTAGCTCCATTTCTACCGCAACATCCAGTGAAACAGAGAAGGTGAACCAAGGGAGGTGTTTGTAGAGTGGACACACAGAGCATCTACCTGCCTCGCCAGGGGGGCAGGATTATAGTAGGTAAAACAGGGCTCTACGAAAAGGCTTTAGAAGATGTATGTATATGCAACACTGGGATAAAACTTCCTTTGCTGATCATAAAAATACACAATTCGCAGCAATACCTTTTCAACAGATGCTTAATCAGCATCTGCTAACTTTGATAAGTTGATCACCGAGTCCATTTTAATGCCATCTCAAATATTAAATTAGATTCTCTTATTTTTTTTAATATCAAGGCTCCTATTTCATCTTACAGCATAGGTAATTCTTCCCTCCAAGTAGAATAAAATTAAACAGGTTCATAAAATATCCATTAACTTACATATGAATGCATATCTATCTGTGCCTCTAAGTTTAAATTAGTTGTCTCCTTTAGCCTGAGATGATGAAGTATTTGCTGTAGGTTTTTTTCTCAAGTGATTTATCTTTCTGATTGTTCTATTATTTGATGTATGGTTTGAAATGTCTACTTATTTCTCATATACACATACGTCTACTTACAGATAGTACAAAGTAATTGATTTAGGCATTTCACGTATATAATTATATTCACTAGAATCCATGTCTAAATTACATAAATCCACAACAGGGATGTCACCAACCGACTGCTGCATCTTTACTTAAATGATGCTTTTGATGCTGATAGTCATGACTTTGAACAAAAGGCAATGCCAAAGGTGGCCCATCTAAGCTCTGTCCCTGAGTGATCTCAAGATATCGGGGCTGGAGTTAGTAGAGGGAGCGGACTGAGTGACAATGAACTCCACCTCTGCTGATAACCAGCCAGATCACTCTGGACAAGTTTCACAGTCCCACTAGGTCTTCATTTTCTTTTTTGTAATTTGCATTGGACTGAATGCAGTAAAATTTTGTGATTCTATTAAGCAAATTCCTTATTCTATTAAAAGAGCCTCTGAAAGGCATTTGGTTAATCAGGAACTAAAATTAGATTGAACTATAACTAGCTTCCTGGATGTTAAGTTTCAACCACATTCCTGGTACTTAACTGGTTATCAGTCCCAGGTTTACTGTGTATCACGTTGCTAGGGTCACTTCAGAAGGAATTACAGGACAAGCCTCTCCTTAACTGGAGTTTTCTAAAGATATGCATTTAGTATATTTACACAATAATTTTAAAAGGAGGATAAATTGCATATATTTAAAATAGAAAATGTAATACTATACCTCTCCCCATCCAAAAAAAAAAAAAAGAGAGAATACTGAATTTTGAAAGGTCTCTTCAGGTTTGCTTTGGAGTTGTCCTTACTGAAAAACCTGAAGCCAATATGCATTTGTTCCAATGAAAGTGGCTGTGCCCAGCAACACTTCATAAAAAGGAGAAGCCAAACTTACCTGCACGTTAGCACGCACAGACCCAGGCACTTGATATTTCAATTCATGGGCTGTTGTTTGAGATTTTGGAAGCAGAAAAGGATAAGAAAGGGACCGATATTTTGATTTCATAATCTAAAATAAAAACAGGTTAAAAAAAAGATTCAAATGAAAAAATAGTTCCAGTCTTCCCTACTTTGTGATTAGTAAGAGAAATTCAGGTTCAATTGAAAAAGAAAAATGTCAACAGTGGGTGTTTCCAGGTGAAGAGGCAATAGATTATTTATTTTTGTTTTCTTTCTGTTTCCCAGAGGCAGAAAATTCCTTTTTTCCTTCTTTTATCCTTTGGAGTAAGCATTATTGCTTTGTATTTTTAAAGAAAGCATAAATATAACCTAGAGATACAGAGGTATACAATTGCAAAAATGGGATTATTTTATTAACTGATTTTTTACTATGCTGGAGATATCGTGCAACAGCAAGATAGCACTATGTATCATTTTAAAATAACTTCATAGTAAAATGGCACAGAATAATCATAATTTGTTTAACATATTGAGCATTTCAGTTGTTTCTCATTTTATTCGAATTATTAGAAACAATGTCAAAATCAATTACTTATTAAATAACTTCTTTAGCTTTAAATACCTGAAATAGATTTTGAGTCAAATGTTACATACTTCGAAAAAAGAAACCCTTTTTTCGTGCTGTACCAATTTATCCTCCCAGGAGCAGGATATAATAGCATCAGAGATCCGAAACCCAACCGCAGGTATCTGCAGTGTTTTTATCTTCGTCAGTCCAGTAGGTTAAAAACACTATCCCTTTACTTATTCATTCATTCCCCTCTAAATTCTTGTTAAAAATATCTCCACTCTTTCAAAGAGCTCCCACTGTTTATAATGTTATGTAAATGAAAAATAAGGTGACCCTTTAAGTTGTTAATACAACTAAATCTTTTTCCAAATTACCTCCAAATTATAAGGAGAAAATGCCTCATCACCATTACAGAAAAATAAAATGGAACCTTAATAACACCTGGACAATAGGTACCTGACTATGAATGTTAGGTCAAACTCTTACAGATAATGAAGGCAGACTCAAGAAGACACAACCTGGAGAAAAGACAAATGGCTTCATCCCACCCTGCTTACTTTGCTCAGAACCACTTCTCAGAAGCCTGTACCAGTGTGAACTGAGGGCAGGGCCAGGACTGGAAGGACTTGAAGCTCCAGCCTTCTCACCTGAACAAGGCTCCCAGCCTCCACATTAGCCCAGTAGCCCTGCAAGTGCCCACCAGGCCAGGCCAGACGCTCAGCCAACGCTGAGCGTCCCAGACGTTAAACCACAGGCCGTGAGAGTAGCACCCGCCCCTCTGCCTTCTGAATTGTCTGTGGTGTGAACACTCAGGAACTTTTTCTTCTTCTTCCCGGAGGCCCAGGCACTCTGACAACCAGGCACTCAAGAAGGGAAGAGGGGATATTCTCGTGTCCTCTTCTTGGCCTGTCTCTCTTCACATAGACTGAATCACAATAAAACCATCCGTGTACCTTCGTGAAATTCCAGCGCTGGATGAAGTGACGCGCCACATCGCGAGCCGCCTTCCCGTGGACTGCAGAGGCGATGTCGTGCCATGGCATCCGGGGGGTGGAGTACCTGTCAATGAAATCTGCCCAGGTACACCAGGCAAGGAGTGTCACCAACTTCTGTGCCAGGGACCCAAGCCATCTGACCCCAGCTCTGACCCCAACTATGATACCTAAAAGAAAACCTGGTAATGTCCACTATGTGTGTATTTCTTGGCTCGGGTAGAACAATACCTTTATAGCCAAGAGAAACATAGATCTCACACTGAGGAACACAGTCCCCCATGTACCTCTCCCAAATATGTTTCCATTTCACTTAGTATTAGATAATCAGCTGGCAAGGCAGAGGTGAGTTGGTATAAGTTATCTAAGGCTGTACTTGATGCTACATTTTTCTTTTTTACCCTGTTGAAATAACAGCAAGCTACACATGCAGTGCAATTTCTACCTCCTTTTAGATAGCTGTATGCAGTAATAATCTGAAATGTGTTGTTTTAATGCTGGAAGATGCAGATGATAAGCAGAAAAGATGATCAAAGGAAGGGTACCATCTCTTGAAGAATTACAGATTATTACCCTGAAACATGTCTATATGAAAGCTGGAGATTTCAAACAAGTAAGCTCTATTTCATTTTCTTTCCTTACTACACATAGAAGGAAAAGCCCTTAAGTATATGACTGAATCACAGGCTCCAGTGTTTGACCAAATATTCAGAATAAAATAAAGCAAAACAAAAGATACTAGATCACGCACATGCACACTTGTTCACATGCTGACCAGTAAAAGACAAAACATAAGCAGCCGCCCACTACCCTGGTACTCACCAGCAAAAGGCTTATCCAGCTGAACCCAGTCTTTGAAGACAAAATTACAGTAGTCCTTTCCATGCCAGAATCTGGTTTCCCCGTGGAGCTCTCCCACTCCGGTCTGTAAACTCCGGATGGAGCCAGTGTCTGTAAATGCAGCAAGACCTGCTCAGAGACTGAGGCGGGCCCTGGACAGGGAAGCTCAACTCTCACTTATTAAACAGCTACAGGCTTCTTAACTTTTCTTCGTAAGCCTCCTAACTAGGGCACCGTGCGTCCATTCCATCTGAGGCTGTGGGCTGGTAAAGTTCTAAAACCCTCACAAGTTTATTACGACTTGGTGGTTGGGGCTACAACCAGGTTCATCACCGGACAATGAAATTAAACATTCTTATTCTCACCACCCACTAGATTTCTGGAAAAATGGATCGCAGGGCTAACTGTGAATAAAGAACCTGCTAGGAGAGACTGTGAGAGAGCAGTAAGGCCAGCCAGGCAGAGGAGCATGAAATGCAGAGGCCATGAAGAAATCATGTCCTTCTCCTTCTCCAGACAACATGGGGCTCACCTAAAGTAGAACTCTTTGTCTTTTGCATCTCAAAAGGTAAGAACCTCAAATCTGCAGACAGCCCATGTTCCAGCCCTGGAATTGACCAGTTAAGTGACACTAAGCTTCACTTTTTGGAGTCAGAAATCCTTTATATGTGAAAGGAAGAATTTGGCCCAAGTGACATCTAAGATCTTTTGGGTTCTAACATTCTGTATTTTTAAAATCATAAATAACAATCCCCAAAAATATCACAACAGACAAAAGCTTAAGATCACAGGTGCAGAAGCAGCGCTCTACTTCAGTGCTTCACAAAGAGCTTTGGTGGGAATATTTGACCTAAGGGGAAATACGTAGACTTAAATCGTTTGTGTGTTTATGATGACCACAAAGCGGGAAAACCAGAAGAACCACAAATCACAAAATGCAGCGCTTGGCACAACATAACAGACAGACATTGGATGCAAAAGTGTTTGTTGAATGAATAAATGGTACCACGTGCAGGAGCCAGTGTGAGTACTGGCCTGTCCCCACCCTACCCCCTACACTGGCCACCACACTGCCCCAGATCTCTCTTTCCAAAATGCAGACTCCTTGCTTAAAAGCCTTCTAGGATGACCTACTGCCTATAGGCTTCAACTCCTAAGGGATTAGTGCACATAGGCAGCTTTTCTCAAACTGCTGCCAATCTCTCTTTCTGGTCATTGTCCTCTGCACACAACCCAGGCCCCATGCACACCACATTTCTCACTGATTTTGACAGGCCTGGTCCATCATGTCTCTTTGCAGCTAGCACATTATTCCTTCTGCCTGGAATGTTCTCTTCCTCTCGGTCTGATCTTATCAACCTTCAAGAGCCACATCAGCTGTCACCTGCCCTGGGACACCTCCCAGGTCCTGGCAGAGAGAGGCAGCCTCTGGCACTGCTGCAGAACCATTAATAGCTGCACACCCCAGGGCCTCAGACTCTGTGACCCAATTGTGTAACTATGTTCCCTCCCTGCCCCTCACTGACTCATCTACAAACTCGGGGCTGAGATGTGTCTTCCCTCAGGGCCTGGCCCAGCTCCTGGCACTCAGCAGACGGTCAGTTAAGTACTTGCAGAGCAAAAGGTTTTAAACTATCACCACACACACTATCTCAGAGTGAATAATTAACTTCCAAAGGTTACTGAAATTTTCTGTAAAAGAAAAATGTCTTAGGCTGCTAACGATTAACAAAACTCGATAATGTTAAAGACAGAATTCTATTGATTTCTCGCAGTGATTTATTTTCCTGCTGAGCCTGAAAGGCCAAAGTACTGGTAGGTCTGTTTGCTCACCTGTAGGCTCTTTGTAATATAAGCATGGCACTTTGTTTAAAAAAAGGAAAAGAAAAACCTTTTTAAAATAATAGTCTCAGGGAAAGCAGTGTCGATTTGAAATTCTCCCTCTTGCAACATGATTTTGAGAGAAAAAAACCCTGAAGATGGCTGAGTGATTTTGAATTAAAAAATATACCTCAGAAATCTACCATGGTTACTAGTCACATTTCAAATGAGCTGATTCTAGTGCAGCTTTTCTACTTAAAAACCCACAGTGATCTTGCATGCACACTCTGAACTGACTTCTGTACGGCACCAGGAAGGTTCACTAGGAGCCCCATTCAGCATGGTCATTTGCATTCAAGTGAAACTGACATTGCAGAGAAGCAATCCAGCTCAAATCTTCAGGAAAGGAAGTCGCTAATTCAAGCAAACATTCAGTTTCAAATTTCTAACAAAGAGTCACTCTATGCTTAATTTGCATTTCAAGTCCTATAAGACAATGTAAGTTTAAGCCATTACATGACTTACACATAGAGCTGTGCTCATTAAGCTTCCTTTATTATTTATAGTAGAACCTTACTTTTTTTTCCTATACAAATTCACAGGGCACTCCAATGTATAGAATAGCACAAGTGGGGTTTTTCTGGTTGAAGTGGTACCAGTGGAGGTGAGAGGGTCCAGGGCCCTCAGCATTATCCACAGAGCCCCCTGAGGTCCAAGGAATAGGCTTTGCAAAGCATTGCTCCAGAAGGACTCAACTATCCTTGGACTTTCCTTTTTAAGTAATTTCAGTTTTCATATTAAAAAATTAAACTAGTAACTTAACGTAGTTAATAGAAAGAGTCCTCTCGGCTCCCATATCCCATATCCACTGTATCAGCAAATGCTGCCAGCCCCACCCAATAAATGTATTCAGTGCTTGTCTGGTCACTACTTGCCACCAGGGTCTGCTCTGAAGAATAAGCCTGTGAAAATGGAAGTCAGACCTTGTCTGTTCTCTGCTCAAGAGCTTTTGACGACTTCCTTTTTCACTCAAAGTATAAACCACAATTCTGTATCTACCCCACCCTCCCCGGCCGTGCTCCTCTCATTTTCCCCCAGCCCCCCACCCAGGCTACACTCCTGGCACACACCAACCCCCTCCCCCCACAGCCTTTACACTTGCTACTCCTCCTGGCTGAATTCTCTCCCCACCCCAGATATGCCCTTAACTCATTCTTCTCTTCCTTTTGATCTCTGTGGAAAACTCCCCTCATTGGAAAAGCATTCTCTGACCCCATCCTATACAAAACAGTAGCTCCTCCCTCGCACTATTGTTCTCCATGATAATTCTTACTACCTGTTACACTGTGTTTGATGATCTATTTGTATATACAATTCCCATCCTTACTCTCCAACTAGTTAACTGAACTTCATCTATGTTGTTCACTCCATCCCTGGTACCTAGAACAGAGATTAGCATATTACAGGAGCTCAGTAAGTACCTATTTAACTAACAAACAAATCATACACATTTATTTCTGTACTTGCACTTACTGTTTTTAATGATTGTGCAATTCCATCAAGGGGATGAACTGCTCATTATGTTCCTCACTATCTCCTACTCTTGGATATTAATAATCTAGTTTACTTTCTTTCTCTTTCTCTATTAATAGAAAACACATCCAGAGCAGGGATGAGGGTTTCCATCAACACCTGCAAACCACCCACATTGCTGTCCTCAAATCACCACTGGGGGAATCACCCCTCTTGGCCTGCCCTGGCCTGAATCGCTTAATGTATTCTGTACCTGACTTGCATCTTCTTTCCCACTAGTCTCCAGTCCTGTTTTCAGCAAGACTAACACTCTGCCCCCTCAGCTTCATGTTCTGGCAACCTCATTCCTCCATCTCATCTTTAACTTCAGTCCTCATGCAGCAAAGCCACACACCAGAATTACAAAGCAATACCTGGCCCTGTTTGCAACCCTTTCATGTCTGCCCCTGCATTTGCCCGTGGCCTGGCTCTCTGGACTTCCCAGTTCCCTGTCTCAGGGCTAGGAAGCTCTGCGGAGCACAGGAATTACTGTGAGCTATCCCTGAATCCACACAGGCATCAGGTACTAGCTGTAAGCTAAATAGATAAAATGTCTCTCCATATACATTCTTCTCCCTATTTTAATGTATATCAATGTTTTTGTGATTTACACATACGGTTGTATTTAACAGTTACACTGGATCTTTAGTTCACTATATATATTTAATCAGTTTAAAACTTGCAGTGTCCCCAGACTGAGGAATGCTGGGAACCACTGCTTAAGGTCCAGCGTAATGTATCAGGGTTGTTAGCTCCTGACAGCCACAACTCACTCCCATCCAGCCGTGCTAGCTGGGCTCTCTCTCAGTTATCTCATAAACAGTACGTAGAACCATGGGCTTGAGAATTTCGTCAAAAGGTCCTGAGGTAGTCATCTGCGTTTCTGCTAAATCACAAGTCTGAATCATGATCTCTGGGAAGCTGACAAACTGGAACTTCGCTGGGCAAGTCCCTTATCATCTCTAGCCCTGAGTTTCCCCATCTGCGAAGAGGAGATAACCCTATTACTACCAACACCACAAGTGCCTAGGGCAGGGAGGGGCAGTATCTGCACACAATTAACACTAGCTTACAATTTTACTACGGCTGCTATTTATCATGATAATTACTTGTCCCTTTAACTGATCCAAATTCCTCTTCATTCTCACCACCATATTTTGGCCCCGATTAATTTATTGAGAACCTAGGTCTTACAAAAGCTTATCCGATGACCATTTCTAATATGTACGTGGCATGAAAACTGTGCGAACAGAAAGCCAATCCAGAAACACACGCGCTCTGCTCATGCAGCACAAGCGGAAGCCTCGGGCGGTTCTGGCGCTGCGCACATCACTTACCCGTGTTAGGTCCAGTGAGCCCCTGCTCAGACTCACTGGAAGAGCGAAAGAGTCTCAAGTGAGGTTTTAAACCATGGATTAAATTCTGACGGCTCCTACAGTGATTACAATAACCTGGAGAAAGTTGAGAGTTCTTTTTTTACAAAGGAATACATAAATATGCCATGCTTCCTAAACTGGGAAGCAGGTTCCATCATTTTAAAAACTAGACAAGGCTATAAAATCAGTCACAGATTCTGTGCAGCAGAGAACTGTAGAGCTTTAAGACGCATTTGAAAAGTACAATGAATTTACAAAATGTAGAAAATCTGATGTTTGAGGATAAAAGCTGGATGTACTTCTGGACAGGAAGAGAAATGAAATTTCTTTTATGAAAAGCTTACAATGTGCCCCTAATACTTTTCTTTTTCCTTCACACCTTGGCCTTGTTTTAGAAATGCTTAGGTAGCCTGCTACCACTGGAAGCCTGAATCGTGGTTGTTATCACTACTTAGGCAAATAAGACAAGAAATCTGTTCTAAAAGGAGTCAAACAAAGCCCTGAAATGGCACGAGACCGAAGAGGATGATATAGTGACCTTTCAGTACTGATCACCGTTCAGTGTCCATTGTACAGGACAGGTTCTGAAAACAGGCACACAGGGTCTGGCCCTGGAGGAACATAGCAGAGATCAGTTCCAGCAGAGACTTACTGGAGGCGCTGTCGATGCTGCTGATGCTGTCTGCGTTGTGCAGGTGGTGCCTGTGCAGCTGCCGGTACAGGCTGAACTTGGAGAATTTTCCCGGCTTTCCTATTCCTTTCAGTTTTGAGTCCCTATCATCAACATTCTTCAGGACGGGCGGAGTTTTATTAGATTCGTTTTTATCTTTGTGGCTTAAGGATTCCATAGACTCTGTTGTTTCAGCCTGAGAAAATTATTAAAAAAAGAAAAAAAGAAAAGAAAAGAAACTGCATAAGATACTGTGCAATGAGGTCCTTTAATTCCAGTTGAGCTGGTATATAAAGCTTACACATGATGAAGGCTCCCCAGCAGACACCCAAGAACGTGTGAGGTCAGCCACAGGGCAGTGGGTGATTCTTATGAGCTGTTTAAATACTTCCAAAGGAATACCAGGCAGTCCATTACAGTTCTTCTTCCCCTGGGCCACATTCCTGAAATTTCATGCCAATTAACCTTTTTTGTCTCCAATACAATTCCATGAGTTCTATTCCCTGTTGAGTCACTGAGCTTATTCCTCTGATAAACATGAAGTAAGTGATACTTTTTCTGTCAATTATTTTCCTTATTACCTTTTCACTAAATCTCTATTTTCCCAGAAGAGTCACCAACACATTCAGCAGTAAAATAAGATGGAGCTCATCAAAATTTTTAATGAGTGTATTGACATTCTGGCAACCATCTGAGTTGAAATAATAAGCATATGAATATAGGCACGTAGCTATTTTGGCAGCTCTTGATTTGACAGGTACTTTGAGAAGTTATTAACCTCCTGCTTTCAACAGAATTCCCTAAATGACTTCAGACTGACCTGTCTTATGTTTGTATGGCTGTAAGAAGGACGATTCCAAAAACTGTGGCAGCTACTTGTAATAAGTTTGCTTATTTAACTTCAAGTCCAATTTTGCCACATATTTTTGTTTATGAACTTTTTTCCCCCAAGGAGGAAATACATCTTTAATTTCAATAGAAAACAAAAGAGCTGACTATGAGATAGCAAATGCTCTGCTAATCTGTTTTTAATTCTTACCGGAGAAGAAACTAAGACAAACAGATGTACAGGTACAGACTCACTCAATGGTATTTGAAACCAGTCTATGTTGGACTCAATGTTCTCTGCCCTTCCAGGGATATGCCAGCTCTCAGTATACCCATCAATCAATCAATCACGCTAGTAATACATCTTTATACAAACTGTGCAGGGCCTTAAGGTGAAATTTACTAACCGTGAGGGAGCCTGGAGACGGTCCCATGATGACGCGCTTCACGCTGCCGACGTCTGTGAGTCTGTGTTCACTGTCATCCCACCTTCCGTAGGCCAGATCGATTCCACCCAAAAAGGCCACTGACTGGTCGATGATGACGAGTTTCTCGTGATGAGCCCACAGATAGACGCTGGACGACACATGATCTGGGTGCCTCATCACCTTGAGAAGGAAAAAAACCACATGTGGAATATGCTTTCTAAAATGTCTTTCATATCATAATAAAATAGGTCTGTTTACTCCCCCGAATAGCATTTTCTACAGTTCGAAAACTCAAATGTGCTTTTTAAACATTACAGAAAATCTCCAAACTTTTAATTTTATCCCTAGTATTTAGCAGAGGAGGAACCCTCATTACTTTTAAAGACTCTCCTGCCCATCCAGAACCTTCCCACATCTGGGGACAGCTGCCATTTAACTTGAAGTCTGGCCACATATTTTAATAAAAGTCAGCTCAGTGGAATAGCAGATTCTCTTTTCCCCCAAAAGGATTACGTTATATGTGGTATTATTTTTAAAACACTATAACTTTTCAACAAACATCTATCCGTGACAAAAATTTTAATAAATATATTGATATTTTGGCAGTCATTGAGTTGAAGTAGTAACCATTTGGATATAAGGATACAGACGTTTTCACAGCTCTTGATTTTAAAGGTACTTTGAGAAGTTATTAACCTCCTGCTTTCAAATAGAATTCCCTCTAAATGACCCCAGACTGGCCTAGTCTATTTTTGTATGTCTTTAAAGTAGAAGCATTCCAAAAACTTTCGAGGCTACTTCATTTATTAATAACATGTTTTTTAAAATAGTGGTAAAATACACAGAACATAAAATTTACCATAGTAACCATTTTTAAGTATACAACTCAGTGGTATTAAGTACGTTCATATTGTGCAACCATCACCACTATCCATCTCCAGAACTTTTCATTTTGTGAAAGTGAAATTCCGTACCCACTCAACTCCCCATTCCCTCCTCCCCCCAAACCCTGGCAAACACCATCTATTTTCTGTGTCCATGAATTTGACTACTCTAGGTATCTCATATAAATGGAATCATACAATATTTGTCTTTTTATGACTTATTTCACTTAGAATAATGTCTTCAAGGTTCATTTAGGTTTTATCATATGTCAGAATTTCCTTCCTTTTTAAGACTGAATCATATTCCACTGTATGTATACACCAATCCATTATTGAGAGTGTGATAGTAGAGTGCCCAACTATTACTATAGAACTGTTTTATTTCACCCTTCAATTCTGTCAGTGTTTCCTTTATATATTTGGATGGTCATTATTAGATATATAATTGTAACTGCTATATTTTCTTTCTTGCTGCATTAAACTTTTTATTAACATTTAATGTCTTTCTTTGTCTATTATAAACTTTTTTCATTTAAAGTCTCTTTTGTCCAATATTTGTATAGCCATTCCTGCTCTCTTTTGGTTACTATCTATGTGGAATATCTTTTTTTTTTAACCAAGAGAAATATGTAATTGTCATATACTTTAAGCCTGCTGGAGATTTACTAATTCATTGTCTTGATGGACCTCAGTTATTGAGCACTATTTACTGATAGGCTTCAGATGTTCGGTAAAGTATCAAATAGCTTTTTTCAAATTGTTTATCATTTTAATTTACTATATTAGTACTTTATACAAAGTGCTATTAAGAAAAGCACTTTAAATCCTAGAAGAGCTCTCCTTGTTGCTGTCAGTGTTCAAGGGATGTCCCGGGGAGATCACATCTAAGAGGTTCCAAGATAATCTTAACAAGGAGTATGGAAACTTGACAGGGCTCTTGAATATTAAAACAGCTGTAGGAAGAATGTTCTTGGCTGAATTATCAGGGTAAAAGAAGCAGAAATGAGAACTCTGCTGACTCCATCAATATCAGAAGTGTAAGAAAGTATAGTAATTTGTTTTATTTCTGAGAAGTTCAAAATACTGTTTATTCAAAATATACATTAGGGAATTCTACAGATTACCACTGCTCCAAGCAAGACATATCTGAAAAACAACAGAATAACAAAGAAGAAACTCTGTTGAGCAAGATGGCCTGAATACCTTTATGTTGGGGTGTAGATGCATCAAAATCCTCTTGCTGTATTCACTGTTGATTCCAAGAGCAAGTTCCACCTCTTTGTAGAGCATAACGAAGATCCTCACCCCCTGTTGCTGTTACAGATGAAAACAGGAAGTATTCAGAATTTTTAGAGGTAGGTTATGATTTTTCTTTTTCTTCTTCCTTTCTGGGCATTGTACTTTCTAAAACTTTCCTCTATAACAAGCATAACACAATTTTTAATGAAAAATCCAATACAAGGAGGTGATATATAAGTGTATATTAAGACACAAATACAAAAAAGAAATGTATCTCCTTTCTATTCTTTGACTTGTAATCCTGAGAATCCATATGGGACTAATTACAGCCAGAAAGTTGAAATTGCAGCCTCAAATACTAAAAGGGTCTGATATCAGATAGTCTTACACCTTTGAACATCTCCAAACACTTGACATTGAGGAAAAATTTGGACCTGATTCGTGTTACAGGATTAGGGTTTTTTTGTTTGTTTTTATTATACCAAAATTAGTTGGAAACACAGGGTTTTAAAAACTCCAATGCGTTAAATTAGGCTACACATGCCTTAAATATTTCTGGGAGTATTTTCACAGAATTTTTCTTTACTAAAATTTATTTTAGTGGAAAAAAAATTTCTTAATCTTCAGAGAAGAATGTGTTGGTTCACACTCTTCACCCATAATTAAATCATCAATGTCTGTTTCACTACTGAAATGACTTCTTCAGAAGTCTGCTTCTCTAACATTAAAAACTCCCTGAGTTTTAGCAGCAGCACACAAATTAACATTGATCCATCCTTAGACCCTGGGCCTAAAAGGAAATAGACAAGGACATGGTGAAGGTCAAATTAAATAAAAAATGCCTGGTAAACGTTAACATGCTATACAAATAACATTTATTATTAATATTAACCATGAAAAACACAATGTCCAACAGCTGGTAGTACAGAAAAGTACTAGTATTTTCTCTCCTAGTTCTGGGTGGTGGCAAAGTTTTAGCCTATGATAAATTGCCCCACACCTTAACGTCCCTTCCCTTCTCTCTGTCCTCTCATACAGTTCCCCCACCAATATCTCCAGGAAACACTATCTTATTTATCCCGACTTCTAGTCTTTTTTTTTTTTTTTTTTGCTTTTTAGGTTTGCATCTTCAGTATTGCTGTGCTGTTTGCAACATCTTAATTTGCATTTCCTATTCCCAGCAGCTCTGAAAGTATTTGGAAATACATTATATACATATTAGATACTATAGCTACACTTAGGCATTTAATATCTTGGAGATTTAAGCAAGAAGTTTCCTATAGTACTTTCTAGAGTATTAGATATACAGGCATATCTAATAAACTGCAGTGACAAAGAATAATTCAGTTACAGTTTAAGTTTAATCCATGGTAATTAGGCATTGTTCATGATGGAAATTCGAGCCTCAAATTTAAGAAGACTTACTGGGTTGAACATACCTAATTTATAAGAACTGGGTTTTTGGCAATGCTATAAAAATGTGAAGTAACATATGAGTTATTATTTTAAGGTTGTAAGATAGAAAACCTTGGAATAAGCCAAATATACATACAATTCCCCCATGTTTCTCTCCCAATATTGAGAAGAATATTTTGGTCCCTAAATTCTTATAATAATTCATCACTTCAAAATACTAACTCTATCTTACTTGGTGTTAGTAATATCTGAAAAGTGTATACAGTTTTGAAGGGACACACTAGATTTACATTCTGGGCTGCATTAAGAAAATTAAATGAGTACTGGGAGAAGACCATTCTAGCTCTGAAAAAACTGGATTAAAGCGTGTATTTTATTTCTCTGGTTAACAGCTGACTTTTGGAAGTGGCTTATTATTTATTATATTGCACAACTATTATTATAATCAAGTACATAAATACAGACTTGATTAAAGAAATAGGAAGTAAAAGTGCAGGCAGGAAGTGGGCAGATTAATTTCTAATGATATGGCCAGTGAGTGCTCTAAATGAAAACTAGAACACTATTTTATTTTTTTGCCTCCATCATTCAGATCCACTTCACTCTTTGAGTATTTTAAGATTCAGCACTAAATAACAGTTACAAAAAAATAGCTTCCCATTGAATGATACAATATAAAGTTTAAAACCCTAAATTTTAACCTAAATTATAGAGCATTACACCTTACATATTTCATCATGGTTCATTTGTTTTAAATGGATGAAATTCTGCTTCTTAGGCTTATGAGATTATTATCCATGAAGGACAGTAGTTGCATATTAGGAACTGGTCTGAATCTCACAATTTTCCATTTACCTGCATAACTAATGGATTTTGGAAATAATGGAGATGTTAATGCTAATAGATTATAGTATATCCTCCATCTACTAACACCTGACATTTTCTTCTATACTGTATCTTTTCCCATTGAAATAAATTAACTCTAAAAGAAAGAGGGTATGCACTTTAAGTCTTTTCAGCTTAAGTAGAGATGACTAATAAGGAAGTAACTAAATATAAAAAGTTCATTTTTATATAGGCTGGTTTACAATTATTCACTAACATCCATACCCACAATAAGCAGTTAATTAGTGACAAGATTTTTGTGGTAATAAAGCAATAAAGTCCTCTTCTTCTGCTCAAGGTATTACACCACTACCATAAACTTTAAATTATAAAGGGCAAAGCAAAATATGTCCCTTGGGAGTGAGAGCATTTGTTGGGTCATATAGTGCAGACTTATACAAAATTGAGAAATATTTGTGCAAAATGAAAGCCAAATTAGAAAAAAATGGGTTAATTCTGTAATTAAAAATTCTGATGTTAATTCTGTAATTTAAAAAATGCACTTTTGTGGGGCAGAAAATAGGTACTTAGCATGCACCAGGTCCTAGGTTCAATCCCCAGTACCTCCTCCATAAATAAACAAATAAACCTAATTATTGAAAAGAAAATCTGTAAATAAAGCAAAATTAAAAATGCACTTTTGAGGCATCCAGTGTTTTACCAATGTCTTTTAGTGACCCTAGGGGAAATTATTTTTTGCTTAGAAGAGAAGTATTAATAGGGAAGTAGGAAAGCAGATGGCCTGGACTTGACTGTTTCCTGGGTTTCTAGGCTTCTATGCCATGTTTCTTATCTCTGCTGAAGTCAACTAACCTGAAGTCCACAGAATAAACTTCACAACACCTGAGTTTCAAAAGGTAAAAGTTCTATCCTCTTTTCTAATTATTTTTTAATCAAGTAGAGCAGACAGAATACTAGAAGCAGTAGGAATTTTTAGGTCCTTTACACATACAAATGCAAATGAAGAAAATGAAAAATAAAAATTGTTCTAGAGTTGAAATCAAGAGACTTTGTTTCTGAGACAGCTTTTTCTCTGATTGTTCAAAGCACTGTGGTCCAAATATTTCCTAATGTAGGCAAATTTGTCCATTGCCTCAAGATAGCTTAGCTTAACATCTGCAGGATAACCACTAATTTTATCACCTGTCAAGGACTTCCCCAGGGAGGGTGCAACATTCTGGGAAAATGGAAAGTCAAAGATAAAAAGAAATAATTTCCCCACCATTTAATTAAGTGCAGGCAGCATTGGGATGTAAGAGCACAAATGCTCATGCACCATTTTTTTAAAACCAGTTTTGTTTAAAGAACAGTCCTGAAGGTTGAAGATCCTTTCTCTCCCCAACCACGCCCTTCTAGCCCACCATTTTGATAAGATTCTCTTTTTTTTCTTGTGCAGAGATGGGATTATTCATCTCACTTGACAAAGCTGGACGTCATTCCCTCCTATTGGTCACTGACTGCAGCTCTAGAATGTGCCTAGTGGTCTAGGGCAGAATGAAATTAATCTGACGACAACCTCCCCATTACTCCCCACCCCCCAACCCAGAGAACCTAGGTTCTGTAAGTCTCCAGGATCTCCAGGATTCTGTACTTGAAGAACTTCTTGGTGCAAGTCTCATCAGCAATATTATGTATTCTAAAGTTAAAATATACAAATTCGGTTCAGGGATATAGGTACCATAACTATGATGCAACTCATCTCACCTCTTAGTGCAGTAAATGCAGAAATGTGAAAAACCCTGGGATGCTGATTTGAGCTGTAAACAGGCTTCCTCTCAATGCTGGCCAACACTATGTCAAATGATGACACTGCATATCAGAAGGCCAATGCATATCAGAAGGCCACGCAGCAGGAAAATACCAACTTGGTTATTACCGGAGAAACAAAATATTATATTTTTCCCCAAAAAACAATTATTAAGAGATATTTGACTATATGTTGGCTATAAGGCAGGGGCACTAAATTTCTCCCTCTAAATCCAAACACAACCACACTGAAGAAAAAAAATTCATTTTAATCAAACTTGTGGACCTCCAGGACCCATTAATGAAAGAAAAAGTGTTATTTTCAACCCAGTGAAGCTAGTGGCTTTCAGAAACTAAATTATTTATGTGAAGCAGTGTTTATGAGTCGATGAAATATCAATTTGGAATGATATGAGCGTTAAAAATTTATGACCAAAATAATAATATGGTGTAGCTGGATTAAGGAAGAGCAATTCTGTAAATGTACCACTGAGAGATTAATATTTAATAGCATTACTATTCCCTTAGGAAATTTTAAAAATCTTCACACACAATTTAAAAATTGTAAGTTTCGGGAAGCAGATGAAATTGAAACAAAGGACTGTTCTCAGGCAGTAACATTTACTTGGCTGTGGTGTTCAATTGGGACCTCACCAGAGCTCAGGGGCCATAAAAACAAAGAAAAGCCGTAACAGTGATAGAAAAGGCAGCTGGACAGTACACTGAGGGGAATGAACAAACAGAGGCCAGTGAACATGTGAGGTGGAGGGCCAGGCTTGCAGGTTCTTCCTCCCAAGCCTGCCTCTGGCAATACTAGCTTTCTGGAGTTTACTCAGATGTCCCCTAGGCACCTCACACTCACGTGAGCTAGAATTTGGCTCTCTGATTCTGGGTTCGTTTTAAATTTTAAATTAAAACTCCCTTTTAATTCCAGACGCACCTTCCCCATGTACCGTTTTGATTGGATTGCTCTTCATCCATCACACATCCCACAGCAGTTCACCACTGTCTTGCGTTAAGCCCAGACCACTGGCTTGGCTCACAAAGCCCCCACATCCCAGCTGCCTTTCCAGCCTGGACTCCCCTCCTACCTATGCTAACACATCAACCATGTCACCTTGCTGTGACTGACAAGGCCTTATCGATTCCTGCCTCCAGAATGTTCCCTCACCACATTTGTGAGCATACACCGCTTCGGTTATTTACTTTTTATAACAAAAAGAGCAAACTTCAGGCTCACCGAGAATCTACAGGGTCAGTTTCACACTATTTCCATGAACTGTCCCAAAACTGGAGCCAGAACATTACCAATTCTTAATCACCCTTCAACATCAGCTTGACACCATCTGACTGAAACCATTCTCCGATGACTTTGTCTCTTGCTCAAATGACAGAATAATGAATAAAATGAAATGCTATGTTTCATCTTGTCATTTATTATTCAATGACAAAGTTTTATTACAATTTCTTGCCTATAACTTAACTGCCCATATACCTGATTAAAAAACAAAAAAATAAAGTTGCTAATATAATCCATGCTGTGAATTAGGTGAAAACATTTATAATTCAAGAGTAATAGGAAAAAAATCAGAACCAGATGAACTTGAACACAGTTAAAATATTCTACCTTTTGTCAAACTCTAGAGAAAAAGTTATGTGTATATGAAAGGCTTTGAAATAGAAAAGGCATTTCAGAGGCAATAAACATTTAAAAAATTACATCAGCATCTGTTTAGAAAATACATACTGCTTTTCGTTTAAGAATGCAGTCCAGTCTCCAGCGATTTCCTTCAACCACCGGGCGTTTCAGGAAGATTTCTGGACTCAACCTGAAAGCATGAAACCAAGATTTCAAGAACCTAAAACAAAATATAACGTTCCAATGATATCATAGGAAGCAAAGGCAATTTTAGCCCCAATGCCATCCTCCTCCTCCACTGTGGCAGGTCACCCAGAGTTCTACTGTGAGTCCATGAATAACTTCATATGGGAACAAGAGCCTTTCCTTCTTCCTCTGATGAAAGGAAGAGACAGGCACGCGCGCGGACACACACACACACACACACACACACACACAGAGGAAAAGCCGCTCTGGGATGGATGTTGCATGGGGGTGTGATGTCTAGACAGGTACAGCCATATTGAAATTCTAAGGGGAAAAGCAGAACCTTGAAATTACTACATCACCCTGCCAATTCTCTGACTACCTAATTAAATGACATAAATAAATCCTCAGTGTTTAAGGCACCTTTAATTGAGCATTCTAGCAACTCAGGCCCAAGTGTTCTAATTGACAAATATGAACACTTACTTCCTATACCAAGGAGCAGTGCCCATGGGAACCTGGGGCTTTCTAAGCAAGGAAGAAGGCAGGCTTGCTGATAGATAAACTTTTTCCAGTGTGAGCATGGACCCCTATGCTCTTCTTCATAGTGCCATAGATGACACAGTAGAGCAGCATCACTTTTTCCCCTTAGGGTTGAGCTCAAAGTCATTGCCTGAGTTAAACTGGTAAGTGGTGTAACTCCTCTGTAATGGGAAAAACAAACAAAAAAGAAACAATAAAGAAATTTTCATCTGCTGAAATACTAGACCTGAAGGGGCAGGAGGACACTGTGTAAGGAACAAAGCCTTACAGAATACTAGGGTGGAATATTCCATGGCCAGGCAGTCTTCTAAGCATGTGAAAAAAGTAGGGTTCTAAGGAGCTAAAGATATTAAAAGAAATAATTTTATGCTCTATTTCATTCAGTTAAAGGAAAAAATCCCCAGAGATAAAGTATCCAAAGGAAACATATATGGGGTCAGATAAATAAGAAAACAGAGGAAAGGAGGGGTGTATATAATATAAATACTTCTATATTTGGTTTAGAGTAGGAAACAACTCAAAGGTAATGTACGTCCAAACAAACAAACAAAAAATGAAGCAATTGATAGGAAAAGATTTGAGATCTTTGAAAACAGATCTGTCTTAAATAGAACAGTATATTACTAGGCATTGCTAGTTCACTGAAAGTAGGACATATCAAACAACATATACATACACTTGCAATTTTTGATGTACATGTTAATTTTGGGTTCAGTGGACTTCTGTTTGGGGCCGCTTTTAAGTCTATACTCTGTAATTAAGTCTTTATCATCTTTAATCTAAAAGCACTACGTACCTTGAATGCAGAATACTCTACTAGATACTTTGAAGGATCTTAATCTAGCTCTCAAGTAGAACTTGATTTTGAGGATAATGCATAAAAAGATAAAAAATACTGATAATCATGCTATAAACAAAGTTTAAACAATGGCAAGGAGAGAACAGCTATGACTTACAAGCATCATTATGTTAGGGTCTTTACTAAGTAAATATTAGATAAGCAAAACTTGAAAGAATTGTATAATACTACATTTCAATGAGTCTAGGACAGCAGTGACTGTAAGATGCATCAATACTGTGTGTACAACTAAGAAAGAAAAACAATGACAGCTACAGCTATGAGACGTTACTGAGTATAAGGTGCATCCTGATTTTAGAGATGTTAAAGTAAATGCTCCTCTTAGAAGATTTTACAGCTTTAAGTGCTCATATGAGAAAGAAAAAGCTTAAAATCAATGATCAGCGCTTATATCTTAAGAAGATAGAAAAAAGAATAAATTAAACCCAAAGTAAGAAGGATGGGAAAAACAGGTAAGAGTGGAACTCAATGCAATGTAATACAGAAAAACAATAGAGAAAACTCAATAAAACCAAAATCTAGCCCTTTGAAAAGATTAAAAAAAATGACAAACTAGTTAAATTAAAAGAAAAAAAGAGAGTTTAACTATTTTCGATTCCTCATGTAAATGGGAAGAAACTGTTTGAGTAGGATATCAATCCTACTCAAAGTCTCCCAGGAAACGAGGAGAAAACACTTACTAACTCATATAATGAGGCTAGCATTATCCTAATACCAAAATCAAATACAGACAATCAAAGAAAAGAAAAAAATTAAGTACAACATCCCTAACAATTACAGAGGCAAAAATCTTTACCAAAGCCTCATAATCTATAAAAAGGATAACAGATTATGACAAAGTGGGATTATTTCTAAGAACACAATGTTGGTTTAAAAATTGCAAATTAAATCAATGCAATTCAGCACATTAACAGGAAAAGAAAACCCCCAAAAATGATCATTTCAATAAATGCAGAAAAATGTTTTGACAAAATTCAATAAATACCCATTCACAGCAAATTGTAAGTAGAAAGGAATTTCCTCAAATAGAAGGCACCTATTTAAAAAATCTACCTGAAGCATATAATCTAAGACTGAAAATTTTTCTCCCAAGACTGATAACAAGGCAAAGATGTCCTTTCTCATCACTTCTATTCAACACTTCATTGATGATGCTAGTCAATGCAAAAAAAAAAAAAAAGAAGAAGAAGAAGAAAGAAAGAAAAGAAAACAAAACAAAAAAGGAAAAGAAGGGAAAATAAAGCATAAAGATTATAAAGGAAAATGGAAAACTCTTCATTCACACATCACATGATCATCTATGGGGAAAATCCTAGGGCTTCTACAGAAAAGCTACTAGCACTGGGAAGTGAATTAAGCAAGATTTCAGTAATAAGATCAATATAAAAAATCAATTGCATTTCTGTATGCTGGCAGTGAAAGATTGGAACATGAATTTTTAAATGCCGTACACAATAACAAAACACGAGTTACTTAGTGATCAGTGCAAGGACCTGTATACGGAAAGTACAAAGAATAGCTGAGAAAATTTAAATAAGAACTAAAAAAAAAAGGAGAGATATATAGTGTTTATGAATTGGAAGACTCAATATTGAGGAAGAAGAACAAAATTTGACATACCGTCTAACCAGTGGTGATTTTACCATTTTTTTCCCTTTGATTCCTCAGCCTGGAAGGAGAAGCTGGAAAAGGGCATTGGCACAGGTAGAAAGAACTCCTGGAGGAGTCCTCAAGTTCAGGCTTGAGGAGGAAGTGTGGGTTCTTCTGGGTGCTAGGGGTGGCAGGGAAGGACGCAAAGGCATCAAAAACTCTGAGGGAGTGGAACTCTCCTCTCCAGCTGGAAGAGTTGTGGTTCCAAGAGGATAATATAAATATCTATTGCTTGGCTCTGGACACAAAGTGTCATTGCAGAAAGTGTTTGGCAGAGCAGGGTAAATAAAGCCACAACTTTCTAATTAGAGGACTATAAAGGGAAGCCACAGACAACCCATGAGTAGTGGGTAGATTGTGGAGAGAGAGGAGCTCAGAAAAGCAACACTATAAAGTTGTTTATGAACTTCTAGCTCACTCCCAAGCTGCTCATGGATTTGATCTTAAACATTATACCAAAGAATCTGAGAATTGAAATAAGAAATAGACCACTGCCCAGTCTGGCTGCTAGGTGGAGTATATAGGGGACAGATCTGAACAGCACTGCAAATGCTTTGAAAATAAAGCTGACATTAAAAACACACAGAAGAAAGCTACCTGGAACATTCTGCATGAACCCAAATGAGCCAGTTTCCTGCTAAAACAAAAATACCAACATTCTCCATAAGATTTAAATAAGACCTAGAGTCATAATATTAAAAATCTCCGGAATATAATAAAAAATTACTTGGCATACAAAGAATTAGAAAAGTCTCAACATGGAGGAAAGTCATTCAACAAATATCAATGCCAAAATGGCATAAATGTTGGAATTATTTAATGTAATTCTTTGCCAGATATTGTAAAAATGTTTCAATAAGTAAGGGTAAACACTCTTAAAATGAATGGATGGACAAAAAGTCTCAGCAAAGAAATAAAGATATAGATGAGAATCACAGAGAAATTTTCAAACTGAGAAATACAACACAACAAACAAACACTCACTGGATAGACTCAGTACCAGAACAGAGGTGACAAAGGAAAGAATCAGTGAACTTCAAGACAGATAAATTATCTAATTTGAATAACAAAGAGAAGAAAAGATTGGAAAAAAATGAAAGTCTCAGAGACCTGTGGGTCAATACTAAAAGACACTATTTGTGTAATCAGAGACTCAGAAAGAGGAGAAATAGGGAAATGCAGGAAAAAAAAATTGAAGAAATAATGTCTGAAAATTACTCAAATTTGATGAATGACATAAACCTACAGATTTAAGAAGCTTGATGAACCCCAAACAGAATAAACTCAAATACCATAATCAAACTGCTGAAAACTAAAGACAGAGGGAAAATGCTGAAAGCACTTAAAAGAAAAACAATGCATCATTTAGAGGGAAACAGTGATTCAAAATGAATGTGAACTTCTCATCAGAAAACACAGGCCAGAATGAAATGGAGCAACTTGTAACTAGAATGGATAAAGATCTTCTACTATTTTGTAATAAGAAGACAATCCAAAAAAAAAGAGAAAAAAATACGATTTGAACATATTTCCAAAAAAGCTAAACAAATATCCAAAAATCACAGGAAAATACGCTTAACGTGAAAAGATGTTGCTAATGTAAATTAAAACCACTGCTACATACCCTTTGGGATCACTAACATTAAAAAATCAAATACACTAAAATACCTTGAGATAAATGAAAATGAAAACACGACCACACAAAATTTATGGGATGCAGCAAAGGCAGTGTTAAGAGGGAAGTTTATGGCAATACAGGCCTTCCTCAAAAAAGAACAATCTCAAATAAACAATCTAACCTATCAGCTAAATGAATTAGAAAAAGAAGAGCAAAAAACCCCAAAAGTCAGCAGAAGGAAGGAAATAATAAAGATCAGGGAGGAAATACATAAAATAGAGATTAAAAAAAAAATAGAAAAAAATCAATCAAACCAGAAGCTAGTATTTTGAAA